TATTTTGCTAAAAGAATAAAGTTAATTTATATCTCCAAAGGGCATTATAGATGAAATTGCAATATTTCCATGTTCCCAAAATTTTTACTCTTTTTTTCACTCTATCACTACTTCCAAAGAAAAAACTCTTGCCTTGAAAGTGTTTCAAAATATCTTATCTTTGTCCTTGGTCATTTCCAACCATGTAGAGCTTTTCATGTCAGGACCATCAACATGAAAATGCATGGTTATTCTCAAAAGATGTTTTTCTAAGCCTACATATTCACTGTAAAGCATCCCAGAATCCTCTAGCGTGAATGTTAATAAGCACAATAGGGTTGGAACTGATGGTCTTGAACTCTTATCTTTCTACACTGATCGTCAGGAACTGTAATGTAAAAAGCACAAAGCTTCCCTCAACAGCTACTATACAACCATGGCAATGTTAACAATAACAACTATCAATCAATTATACAAGCTAGACATGATTCCATCATTTAACTCTTATGACCAACCACACTCTGTGAAACAGAATCTTAATATCTGAACCATATAGATGAAGAAAGAGAGGGTTTAATGACTTGCCTAAGAGAATGAAGACAGTAACTGATGGAGCCAACAATGATATTCTTGCTTCTGACTCCAAAATCCTCACTCTTAAGTATTTTGCCTGAAACCCTATCTCTCTTCAAGAGAGAATAATAATAATATCAACTATCATTTATTAAGCCTTTCTGATTAGGCCCCACCTTCCTTGTTGTTTATAGATATACTCAATTTGAACTTATTCCACATTAGCATCCAAAAAATGCCACATCATTTACTAGTCGAAATGGAGTAAAGTCTATCTGTGAGCCCACAGTGGGAAGAATGGCAGGAAGACCACTGAATGTCATTAGAGAGTGGCTCCTCTTCTCTACTCTTAAATAAGCACACCATCATAGTTCCTGGCCCAGAACATTTGGGAATGGGTCCTGTAGACATCACCTTGTCTATGTTACTTCTAAACTGTACTGCCCAGGCTCCGACCTCTGTGGGTTTGCAACTGGCCACACCCTATCCAGGGTAGTACATGTCAACAGTGCCCAGGCCTCTGCCATCTTCAGAAACTCCAAACCCCTTGTATCTTCCAAGGCAGATAAATACCCAGCATCAGTGTATATCCTAGTGTTTAGAAACCAGTCTTCTGGGGTTAGTGCTGAAGAACTAACACCTTCTACCATAAAGGCCTGAAAGAGCTACTTTAGGAATTTGAACACACCAAGGGAATCTTCCATCCACCATGAAGAGAAAAAAGAAAAAATATGTATGTGTAAAGGAACTACATTATGCCAGACACTTTGCCATGTCCTGCTCTACTTTGCTTACAAAACTGCAGGTAGAGATTATTATAATTGGTTTTTAAGATGAGTAAACAAAATATTAGAGAAGTTTTTTTTTAAGTCCCTAAATCATACAGCTATTTCACTCTTTGCAGACAGCCTGAGGAAAACTTGTAGCTAATCTTAATAATAATTACCATTTCTTGAGTTCTTAGTCTGTACCAAGGCAGTATACTAAGCACTTTATATCCATTAGTTTCCATAACAATTCTATAACTTACTTCATTATCTCCATCTAAGAATGAGAACCACTAGAGCTCAGAGAAGCTAAGTCCTTTGCCCAAGGCCACACATCTGGGAATGAGGGAGTCCAGATGCGAGCCTCTATGTTAGAATTCAAAGTCAGATTCTTAACCCCAGCACAGCACAGCCTCCCCTCAAGGCTTTCAAGGGGAAGTGTGGCCTGAAAAGGACTGGGACTGCAGGGGGGATAGGTGGATAGAAAAGGCAGGGAGAAAAGTGAAAAATACCAGCTAGTATTCCTAGTGCTCTCTGAGCCTTACCACTGGAGCCCAGGGTACTCATTTTACAGGAATGACTCACAGGACAAAAGAGCAGAGGCCTGGCTTACTTTGTTTTGCAAACCATACCCTGTAGAATGAGAATAATTATTAGTCATCTGCAGGCCTTGTGATGCTGGTAGCTTAGTCATTGAATAACTATTATAGATCACACATTCCTATTCCTTTGGATAGAGCCTCAAGCCACCTACACAATCCTTAAACAACTTTTCAAAGTCCCTTGAGCTGGGGGTGGCGGCAGACACACTCTTCAGAAGCTATGCATTCTTCTTACTGAGAGATGGACACCTTGTGGCCAGTAGCATAACGAGACGTCTTTCAGCAGAATGAACAGGCATCCCTATTCTGCTTTCAATGACCCACACACTCTTCAAATTGTCCTTCCTGCAAGACAAGATACTTCAAGCAGTTTTAAGTCTTCCTTGGGGGTATAGAAGTTTCATGTAAACTAGGTTTGGTTTACATTTGTGAGAGACGTTATCTCATGTGAATGAGATAGGAAAAGAAAATACAGCAGGCATATGAGTGGGTAAAGGTACCAAATTCTAACAAAAATGATATGAACACATATGTGCATGTCCACCCACACAGACACACACACACAAACATGCCACTTAATACCTTAATGAAAAATAAGAGTCACAGCAATCTGGTGAATAACTTATTTATTTTGCTTTCCATTTTGAATTCTAAGAGTGGAGCTACTGAGATGACTAAAACAGTTGCTGTCCTCAAAGAACTCAAAGGTTAGTGAGAAGACAGAAACGACATTAATACAATAAAACCAAAGATGTTATTATGAAAGCTCAGAGGAGAAACATCCAAATCAAATGGAGCTGAAGGTTAGGCAGAGGATGAGAAATATTTCCTTGAGGTGATGAGAGCAAAGCTGAGCATTTTTTAACACACACCTGTCCAAAGTAGAAATTGTTAATGCAGTACCCTGGCAATCTAGATGAGCTGGCCCCATGACTGAGGATTTCATTCATATATATTATAGCAGTAAAGATGCTTTGAGCTTTAAATAATAGAAAGCTTAATATCAACTCATGTAAACAATGAGAAATAATTCTGTCACGTAACAAGAAGTACAGGGAGGCTTCAGATGTAATTTATCAACTCAAAGACATCATTTGAAACTCAGTTTTTTTCCCCCATGATTCTACTATGAAATCCCCAAAAGATTTTCCTAACTATCTTCTAGATCACAAGGTTGCTGCTGCAGTTCCAGGCACCATGTACAGACACAAAAATGTTCAGCAAAAGACCCAAATGTCCATCAGTGACAGACTGGATTAAGAAAATGTGGCACATATACACCATGGAATACTATGCAGCCATAAAAAAGGATGAGTTTGTGTCCTTTGTAGGGACATGGATGCAGCTGGAAACCATCATTCTTAGCAAACTATCACAAGAACAGAAAACCAAACACCGCATGTTCTCACCTATAGGTGGGAACTGAACAATGAGATCACTTGGACTCGGGAAGGGGAACATCACACACCAGGGCCTATCATGGGGAGGGGGGAGGGGGGAGGGATTGCATTGGAAGTTATACCCGATGCAAATGACGAGTTGATGGATGCTGACGAGTTGATGGGTGCGGCACAGCAACATGGCACAAGTATACATATGTAACAAACCTGCACGTTATGCACATGTACCCTAGAACTTAAAGTATAATAATAATAAATAAATTTAAAAAAAAAGAAGATATCTTTTCCATGTGACAACTTTTTACGAACAAAAGTTTTCCCAAAAGCTTCCCAGCAGGTTTCCTCTCATATCTTATTGGTCATAATCGGGATACTATGATTGGATTACTAAGAACTGAATAGAGGGAGGCTGTGATCTCCTCAAGAAAGGCTTGGAAAGTATGAAGAGGGAGAAATATTTGTTGAGCAGGTAGATAAATTTTTGGGTACACTATGAGTGGGATATTTGGGAAAACAAACCTATCAAGCATAGTGCAAACCAAACTCTTCCCATTGGAAATTCTGATGGAACACTGTCTCTTAATTGATTGACTTATTTGAGGGAGTATGCTATGCTCCTGTAAATGGGGCTGTATCAAATGCTAAGAATTCCAGCTTTAAGCAGATAGAGCCAGAGGGCTGGTCTTGGTACCATAGAACTTTTATGCTACAAATGACCCAGAGGTGATGATTTTAGAGATCTGAAAACTGCTCTGCCATTTACTCAATACATGCTTTGTACTGGCCTTTGCTGCCTGCTCTAAAATACTTTGCCCACTGCAGCTTTGGGCCAAGACCGGATTCTTTTCTGAGGGTCCTTCCAGCTCTGAAAGTCATGACTCATCATGATATGTGATGCAGAAAGTCTGATTCATCATGACATGGGACACAGGTTCGTAATATTCCTCATCACCAACATTGTATGATATTTCATATTGTTTTTAGCGATCTCACTAGAATGGAGATTCTTGAGTCAGCCTAGCACATAACCAGACAAATTGTTGGTACTCTAAAACAAAAACAAAAACAAAAGACTTAAGTTGGTTTTATGACAGAAGAGCTGAAAAGTACATGTGACCTTTCATTTGGTAGCAGCACTCCCGGAAAATCATCTTATAGAAATTATTTGAATTTTTAGAAAATCTTGAAGCACATTTTCATCAAAGTGTTATTGATCAGGTGTGAAAAGTACAAAACAACTAAATATCCAACTCTAAAGTCTTGTTTATATTAAGTGTGGTATATTCAATGAGTGGATTACAATCATGAAATGTAAGTTTTAGAGACCTTATAGCATGTAAAATAAAATTATATGTTACAATAGTAAGTGAAAAGTGGTACTAAGTTTTATTTACAATATAATGATAATTATGTAAACCAAACAACCCAAGCGTTTAGAAGGGAAGAAAAAAAAGACTAAAAAGAAAGGGACCAAATGGTGCATAGTAGCTGCACTGAGAAATTTTTTTCTTTCTATTTTTTTTTTTTTGACACTCCAAAAATGTTTATAATGGGTATGCACTGGTTTTATAATGGAGAAACACAATAAAAATCACTGATGGATTATTTCACAGATTATCTTTATTAACTTAGTCTTACCTATAATTAATCTATATTACAGTTGTTGACAGGAATAAATCCAGGTGTTTAAGAATGAATTTCAACTGGCAGAGCTTAGTATTCCAAACCTTACTTCATGTTATCAAGTTTTCCTCCCAATCCAACCTTCTCTCTCATTACGGTTCAAATGACAATGCACAAAACTCTTTGCAGAACCTGATCTGGCCCTCCCATCTCCCCATCACCACCCCCTGCTTTTGTTATACCAATAATTCTTCCCAAGGTGCCCTTTCTTCTTTATTCCACTCCTCTCTAGTGGCCAATATCAGAAAGCTCAGCTCAAACACTGAATACCTTCCTGAATGATCTTAGGGAAATTATTTCACTTCCCAGAGTTTCCACTTCTACATTTCTATAAAATGGAAATAATTTTTAAATTGCTTTTTCTCATTACTATTACACAAAAGTTACTGTACCTGGCACATAGTAGGAACACACACACACAAATAGAAAGGCAGCTGTTTGTTTTTCCTCTGAATCCCTCTATCCCTAATTTATAGCTGTCTCAGTGCCTGGCACCATCGAAATAACTTAATTCATGTTTATTGGATTAAAAAAAATGTCACTAGTGCTAGCTACCAGGCCCTGACAGATAAGGACCTGTGGTTGTGTGATTTTAGATGACTTATCTACATAAGAAAGCACAAAGTAAGAAAGTAGTCTAAAAGAGAGCTTCCTTCCTACATAGAGAAAGAGCTTTATTGACTTTGATCAGAAACGGGCTCTGGAAAACCGCCTGCAGGCATCTCGGTAAGTATTCACCCACAAAGCAAAGAATATCAGAAAATAAGATGGAAATTTTTCTCATCCTTTTCCTCCCCACCCCCACACAAGGCCCCTATCTCAAAAGGAGGATTTGGTTGTGTTTTTAAATGGATTTTTGCACTTTTTCAAAAATCAGCTAGATACCAATGCATCCCCACAGCTGAATAAGCACCATTAGGATGAAAGATGTATCCTGGGGGCAGCATAAACTGTGATCCAGCTGCCCCTCCAGCTTGTGCAACTTCTCTTGTTTGATGAGAACAGGGAGGGAGTGGAGTGTCCTGTAGGCTACGTCATGCAGGGTTAGCAGCCTCAAAGTTCATTTTGAGAGAAGAACCACGATGCTTGGAGACATTACTGAATTTCAGCTTGTCCACTCAGAAATGCCATTGGTATAGAGTGGTGAAGGTGCTTCCGTTCTGCTCTTCTACAGAAACCAACCCTGCTCTTCTACAGAAACCAATCACAGGCAAGCAAAGTAATCCTCTTTCTTCAATCTGCAAAAGTTCGAAGCAGCCCTTTAGCATAATCACTCTTAAAACAAACAAAAATAGAATGCTGTACAAGCCATATCATCTTGTTGGTAGATGGTTCTAAGGGAGGAGTATTTAATGGGACAGTGAGTTTAAGAGAGAACAGTTTCTTTTGGTTCTGTGAAAAGAAGTGTGCTTGAGAAATGTTACTCCAAATCCATTAAATTATTCATTCATCCATTCATTCAACACACACTCAAGGAGGAACTACTTTTCATTTGCCTTTTTATTTATTCAATCAATAAACATTTACTGAGCACAGAATGGATATACCATGTACTTTCCTGTGTGTTATGAAGAATATAAATAGTTAATGCTTACATTGTTGAGTGATGATGCTATGCCAGGAATTGTCTAAGATCACACAGTTGGTTAGTAGTACAGCCCAGAGTGTATCCAGGAGCCTGACCCCAGACCCCATATCTTTGACCTCCTGCTATATTGCCTCTCAAAGATGCAAAACACCCAGATGTTAAGATGTAAGTCCAGGCCTTAAGGAGCTTACACTTTAGGAGGGCTGAGGCATGTAAGTGCCTTAAGAGAGGTTCAGGAAAAAGTATCAGGGACATTTGGAGAAAGAAGAAATTATTTCTTCTTTGTTGAGAAAGAGAGAAACTCCTTGGAAATGGTAGGATTTGAGATGATTCATGATAGACAGATAGAATTGAACAAACATTGTTGGGCAAGAAGGCATTCTAAGCTAAGAAAACTGTACCAGTAACCCACAAATGAAAGAAAGCAGAAGTTGTAAAAGAGAGCAACTAGTTTAGTTTGATTGGAGTATTAACGTATATAAAGAGTGATAGTGGGGAAAATGCCGGACCAGGAAGTTGAGACAAGTGTGTATGTGATGCTAATTTTTCCTGACAGGTAACATTTACTCTGCTAAAAATATATCCTCCAAGCAGGTGCTGACACTTGTTGAGGGTATTTGCTTCATCACAATGAGTGACAAAGCATTACTCTAAAAAGCCCATTTAAAATTCACCATCTTAAATATGGGCTAATAGATTCAAGCAACATGGTCTTTCTGTAGTCTACATCCTTCTATTTATCTTGAGAAACTGTTAAGATAACAACAGCTCTGTAAGTCTGGACAAGAAACTTGAGAAAGGGCTCTTCTTTCAGGGAAGATTTGCCTATAGTGTCTGACAAAGAAGCGCCCATTGGGTTCATTTCCAGAGCAGAGAAGAATAATAGTGCTGTATTCACAATGGGTGAATACAGTACACTGTATTCTTCCTTTGTGCCCATGGGACAACACTCTGAGACCTATTTGACCCTCCTGGAGCCTCTGTGTGGGGGAGGGAAGACACTGCTCAGTGGATTTGTGTTTTATGTATCACCACACATGAGAGAACTAGCCTTTGAGTTCACTCAGCATAGGTCAGTCCCCAGTAGGTGCTATGTTATTCAATCTGTGCTCCCACTTTAAGGGAGAGAAGGGACTTTCAATAAGAAGAGGGTGCACACCCAGTTATATGGTCCAATAATTGATGCTCAGGCTGTGTAAGAGAAGAGTTAGAAGTGGGAATGGAGATGGCAAAAGTTGTGTTCAGGTGTTTCAGATATGTTCATATGCAAAGAAAGACACTGTGACTCCAAAGAAAAGAATTCAAACAAATAGATAGACTGAAATCCATATGAATTATGTACTAGGCATTGCGATAAATAATTACATTCGCGATGTTCTCTAATTCTTACGAAATCTCCACAGTATTATGTGCATTACCATTCTCATTTTTCGTCTAAAAATCTCTATTATTCAGGGTTCTCAGAAAGACTGAAAACTCACTTGAGGTTTCACAGCTAACAACAAGTGATGGGTTGGGACTCAAACCCACATCAGCCTGTCTTTTAGCTCCCCAGGCCACACCTTCACTATAGTATGCCTTATGCTCTTTTCTGTTATTTACCTTAGAGAACAGATAGGGAGGAACTACATGGGAATGAATATAGCTCAATATAAGTTAACTCTGTCACACTTCACTGAATGACTTTGGGCAGAAATATGTCCACTCTCAGCCCTCAAATTCCCCTCTGAAAAAATTGAGTAGTACAGATGATCCCATTATAGTGCTGCTGGTATAGTTCTCCATGATCTCTAAGACTCTATTGGATAAATAGAGACTCCTCAGCAGCTCTTTGCAATCTATGAGAGTCCACTGGAATAAACAGAAACCTTTCTACAAGGCATTCATGCACCCTCATGATCCAGCTCCTGCCCATCTCTCCTCCATCACCTTCCACCCACTCAAACTCACATTCACTCTTCAGTTCCACCAAACCATCTGCTAGTCTCCAAAGGGAGGGACACACCACTAAGCCTTCATGCATCTTATTCCCTCCACTTGGCAAAAGAATAGGTGGCTGGCCTTCCTGTAAGCTGCTATTCTTAAATATATTTCAATATCTATTTGGCATCAGTGAAGAGAAAATACTTTTCTACTCACTTAAATGTTAAGTACATATATTCTTTCTTAGGTTAGTAAATAATGTACCAATTACTATGTCACTTTATTCTTTAAGCTTCTTAGAAACAAACCACTCCTATAAGTGTATCAGTGACCAAGGAGAATCTACTCAACATCACAGAGACGATGGAGGAGGGCATTTATGTCACATGGAACATCGTATGTCATAGAAAATAGCTCCATTCCACGAGTCTCTCCTTGAAGGCACCTTTTCTGAGCCACAGCAATGCTGGGCCTTTTCCCAACTCTTCCTCAGCTCCCGTTCCCACAACAGCAGCCCTCTTGGATCTGTCTCTGCCTCTTCAATGCAGATTAATGAACTCTGTCTGTTCTTCTTACCAAATGTGCTTACCTCACGCTTCTTAAAACTGTTTCAAGGGTCAAAAGCCACGCAGCCTATTAAGGATGAAGACTGTGTTTTGACTAGAAAACAAAACTTCTAATTGTCTATAATATACTAAATTCAGAATAAGGGTTTTGTTATATTCATCAAATAAGAGGGAAAGCAAGGTGCATTCCTCCAAGTGCAATAGGAACCACAGGTAGAATCCTAGGCCAACCGGAACCTCATTCCAGTTTGCTGTAGGGATATTCTGTGCCTCTCACAGTGTAGAACCTCAGTTAACTCCCAGCGGACATGTATTTTTATTCAGACCTGTACCTGGCAAACTCCTGCTCTCACTGCAAGATTTAGCAGAATGAGGCACCACCTCTCTGTGAAGCCTGTCCTGACACCATCCAGTTCCTAACTAAGCCTCTCCTCAGTGTTCTCCAGTTTTCATGTGGACTTCAATATGTCAAAAGAAAAATGTCAGCTGAATTCAATGTAAAGGATTTTAACTGAGCAATGAACGATTCACCAATCAGGCAGACTTCCGAGCAGGAGTAGGCTCAGAGACTCCAGTGCAGCCATGCGGTGGAAGATTTATGGACAGAAAAAGGAAAGTGACTGCAGAAAATGGAAGTAAGGTACAGAAACAGCTGGATTGGTTGCAGCTCACCATTTGCCTTATTTGAACACGGTTGCAACCGTTGGCTACATTTGATTGGCCAAAACTCGGTGATTGGCACAAGTGTAGGCTACCATCTGTTTACACCTCCTCTTGCTATAGTTCACCATGTACAGAGAGAACCTTGGGCCAAAATTAAAATATGTGAGAAGGAAGCTTCAGGCTAAACTTGATTAAACAAGTACTATGATTATTTTACAACATCTACCAATAATGAGGCATTTATCAATTTATCTGTCTCTCTCTTCCCACTAGACTGTGAATTCCTTAGGACAAAAGTTTTGTCTAATCCATCTCTGATTCTGCATAGTCCCAGATTGGAGGGGTGTGTTGTGTGTGTGTGTGTGTGTGTGTGTGTGTGTGTGTGTGTGTATCAAGAACTTGACTGTAGGCCAAGCTGACAGTAAAACTGATGCTGAAGGCAAAGCCTGCCCAGTATTCCTCACTTTTAATTCAGGAAAAGCTGGTCTTGACCCAGTCCTGAGTACAGAATTCTCTGTAGGTGGGAGAAATATGAAGGCAAGGAAACAGGAGGTGATTTGTAAGGGAAAATGAAGCACATGGCAAGTTAGATTCCCCAAGGTTCTTAAACTGGTTAATTGAATCCAGTGTTCCAAGACCTTAATTTCAAACAAGGTCTTTGGGAGAAACAGTCAGTTGCTCTCCCTCAGGCAAAATGAAAGCCCTTTTGCTTAACTCAGAGATGTAACAAAGCTCCTGACTTCTTTTTCCTTAATCCTTATGCACCCAGGCTGAGGCCTCACCTTGGGGGACTTTGGAAGGCAGTTTCTGGGCCTCATTTCTTCCCGCCTATCCCACAATCTAGATTATTTGCAAACCCCAATAGGTATTTTTAAATTCAAAGCTCTCTACATAAAAATTCCAGACTTGCCAGGAGTGAGTCCTCATCAACCTGACCCAGGCCATATGTAGCCCCCAGGGCTTGATTTGGAGGCAGGGTCCAGGATAAATCTTTCCATCTCTCATTGCAATTTGTTTTGTCCTTATTAGCATCTCTATATTCCCTTTTGCATTACAGTGACCTCATTCATTCATTCCTTCAAAAGTAAGTATTTACTGAACATTCACTACATTTTAAATCTGAAGGAACAGAATAGTAATAGTAGCTGGCAGGTATTGAATTTTTCATGCACTGTAGCAAAAATTAGATAAAGAGAAAAATACCTGGATGATTCTCTATTTTATTTATTTGTCACAAAAATCCTATGGACTAGGTACTATAGCATTGTTATGTTACAGATGAGGAAATGAGGGACAGAGAGAGAATAACTTTCTAAATCAGTTAGAATTATTTTGTCTGCAAATAACAGAAAAATCAACTCAGCATGGCTTGAATGAGAGAGATGCATTATCGGACACAACAGGAAGAACAGAGGGAGGCAGCTTCAGGATTTGTGAATTCAGTGACTTCACACCTGGGTTATTTTCAACCTTTCATCCTGCCAGCCCCAGAGAGTCA